AACAGACCCCGAAGGGCGGGTATGGTGTAGCTCGAACACGCCCTGGAAGGGCTGGGTAAAACACGGGGTACGGAGAGTTGGGGATTTATGGGACCAGGAAACAAGGAGTTGGAAGAACACGGGACAGATGCGTGCTTGGCTGAGGTACTGCCATCTCACTGAGCAGGCACTAAACGAACTCATTGATAGCTTCCCCCTCCACTGGTACACCACCCTCAGAAAAGGCCCCTGCATAAAGGAGGGAGATTGGGTGGGGCTGCCCGACCGTAGCATGGAAGTGGGGCGGGTGCATCTGACTAATCCATCTCACGTGTTAATAGAAGTCTTTTCCATTCAAAAGGATGATGGGCTACAATGGAATGAACAACCCTTCGTATGGAAGGAGAGAAAAGGGGTATATCGCATCAGGATCATTGAGGAAGGAGGCCACCAAAAAGTGCATCGCCCAATGAGCTCAATCGAGGACCTCCCCCTAGACCCCGATGAATGGAAATGGACCCAAGGTACTAGGCCTGGAAAAGGGGGGGCCGTCACGCTATCACTATATAACCTGAAATCTAAATCCGCTTACCGTATGCTAAAACCCAAGAGGGGGATGCGAGAGCGCGTGGAAGACAGATGGTACCGCCATCTCAACATTGATCGCAGCCTGCTCAAGCCTATTCGATGGTTTGCACAGTACAGGTACATACCTGCTAAGATCTCTGCCCTCCAATGGCAAATAGAACACAGATGTTTACCTACTAACGATTGGCTGATAGATCACACCCGGCTAGAGCAACAAGGGAAGGCACTGCCATGGTGTCGCAAATGCCTCCAGAGCTATCCTGGGAGGAGGCAGGCTGAAACTATTGAACATATCTTTTTGCAGTGCCCTGCGTCTGTACTGCTGTGGAGAACCTGGGATAGGATCTGACGGCATATCGTTCCCGGTGCGGAATGGCCATGGGATTGGAGGGCTATACTCCTGGGATACTACCCACAAATTCGGGAGAATGTCTTCGAAGAGAATATGTTCAGCCTGGGAAGAAGGAGTGTCCTATGGACCATATGGTGGAAGAGATGTATCCTCGGAGAAGTTATGGAACAGATCAGGACATTATTCCAACACAAAATCGCGTCCCAATGGAAGGCTGTTAAAGACAAGCTTGGCCAAATGCACAACTGGGGGGACATAAACAAAGCCATCTTTGGCTTTGGCAAGAAATGGCTGGGAAAGGAAAGGGAAGGATGGGTGGCCGAGGTAAAGTGGTCTAGGAGTGATCTACCGGAGAAGGGGCCATAGGAGGAACCCGGGTTAGAGATAGAAAGGGATTACCGGCTGGTCTTCCATGATTGGACCAATATGGACCCGGGTGAAGCATTAAGGGCAGCCCAGGACTTCGCAGACCCCTTCCCCCCCCCACCCACTTTCCTTAACTGAAATTTTGTTGCCTGCATAAGCCAAGGGACCCAACAGGAGACCGTTCCTCTCTTTTTCCGTTCACTCTTAGGAATCTTTGACAGCCCTCCATTGTCTTGCTTCAGTCCCCCCCTCTATACTTCTCAAAAGACCACAGCTGAATGAGTAGAGGGGAGATGGGACGCTGGACCCGGTTTCCAGCACTTAGGCAGCACTTTCATCCAGGCACAGGGCAGCAAAGGTCTTCTTCAGTATTCCTCAGTATTCCTCTGTGCTTCTCCAAGTGATCCTGGCTGATTTTAGTTGATTGTACTACAGCCTGCCTTTGGCGCTTCAGCCTTTCAAACGTATGCTATTGTAAAGTACAATGGGAGTCCGGAGGTTAGCTGGTGGATGGCGGAGGCAAGGGGATGGAGGGAGAACCCACTGGTGCCCCCCGGTGGCCCCCCCCAATACCCGACCCTGCTGCAGGCTAGGTAGGGAAGAGCAGAATAGATATGGGACGCTGGACCCGGTTTCCAGCACTCTGGCGTCACTCTCATTATGGTACTGTGCAGCAAGATGTAATTATGGGACGCCGGACCCGGTTTCCAGCAGGTGACGCTCCCCACCAATAGATGAAGCAGCCCCGCTAGGCAAAGCCTCAATCTCGGTGGTTCTCTTACCACCACCAGGATAGAGGTCTTGCACAAAGGGCCTTAATTCAAAAAAAAAAAAAAAAAAAAAAAAAAAAAAAAAAAAAAAAAAATCAACCGAGACACGGAGGTCGTGGTGGTTAATAAGAAGCTTGAAGAAAATCAACCGCACAGTCCCTTGAGCACGGCCTTGTTTCATCTCAGCCCAGTGTTGCAAGTGAGAGTGGAAGTTGATCTCCCTAGAGTCCTCCAAGGCTCGACATATAGGACCAGATCTGCAGCAGCCTTGTAATCAGTTGATGAAGGGGCATCAAGAGAAGGCTGTTGAACCAAATCAGATCCCGTAGAGGGATTACCACTTATCGGTTTAACCTTTCCCGAGGTATAGTGTGTTGATAACAGCTATATGTCCGTTCCTGGTTTCCCTGCAGCCTGAAACATTTATCGATTATGTGCTGAGGTCATTGGCAATGCAGGCAAACATTTCTCTTGACCCTACTTTTCCATTCAGTTTCGCTTCAGAGATCAACCCCAGGTTTGGTTGTTCCATCCTCCGGTTTAGTCGGGATTTTGGCTTCTTTGGGGAGATGAAGAGTGTTCTTCATTGAGTTCCGGCTCGGTCCCTTGCTATTCTTGGCAGACTTAGTGAAGGTATTAAGCTTTTTGTCGTCATTTACCCAGTTAGACTCATGGGCTAACGAAGAGCAAGATGCCTCACAGTCTTGCTCCTTGTCGTCACCAAGAGAAGAGTCTTCTGCAAAGGTCTCCTCGTCAACCTCTAGTTGATTGTGCACTGCAAAACAATTGTTGCCTGAAAACCGTTTGCAGCTGGTGGTCTTTTTACCACCCGATCCACCTGGGAGGTCTTGTGCCTCTAGTTTGACTAAATCCCTCATGAGGGAAGGCCTATCTATATAGTTCACGAGTTTGAGCCCGAGACGATAAAATATAGTAGAGGGAACCATACCTTTAATCACATCCAAGCAAGATTGCACAATCATCTCCTAGTCAGGAGTAGCAAAAAGCTTACTAACGTACCGCTGTGGATGATGCATGGTGTACGTTCACTTGCTGTGCTCGAGTTTGTCAAGCTTGACCCTAGCTTTAGTTGCAGCATCTTGGTCAGCATATTCCTTGATTAAGGGTTCCTCAAGTGTGGCTATCAGCATAGCCTTCAGCCGTTTGTTCAGGTCTATCCTTTTGTAGCCTGATTGTGCAACTTGGTCTTCTAGAAAGCCCTATACGATGGGTTCCACATTGGCCCCTAGGACCGACGACTGAGTAAATGGGGGTGTCCCCAGCACGTCAAAGTAGGACCGCATAGAGCTGATCCAAGACTCAATATCATCCTTTCCGTCACACTTAGACGGAATCTGTATCGACTTTCCATCCACGCAGAGAAGGCTGTAACTAGGACCAGCAACTGTTGGGTCCAAACTTGGGGCTGGGCAGCTCCATAATTCCCTGCGCTGCTACTTACTGCTGCGGCAGGCAATAGTGTGGCTGCACCTACTGCAGGTCCCAAAAGGCTGTTGACCATCCCATGGGACATTGGCCTCCCGCTGATCGGCCAAAACCAACATTTGATGGCGCAGTGGTCTCCGTTCGCCACCAACCTCTTCTCTTACATGAGACTGCAGATTCTTATGCTGGCTTGGAAAGCTAGATGTTCCTTTCAATGGAAAAGCCACCAATTTGGGTTGCAGCAAGCGCAGCCAGCCATAGAGGAGGAGATCAGATTGAGAACCCATGAAGCTTGAAAATCCTTTATCAAGGATTATTGGGAGGAAAAAGACCCCGTTGTCAAGGAAGTCATTCGGGGAAGTCCTACCACCAGCTATGGCAGGACCTGTTTAAAATCTTTTCTGAATTGGATGCTGCCCACAACATACGATGGAAGCAGTGGAGGATATTGGTTCCATCCTGGCAAAGAAAATCCCTTTGCGATTTCAAAGTCCCCTTCCTCCCGACTAACTTCGTGCTAATACCCGACCACCAGCCTGGTCCTCCCCTGTCTCCCCCGTCCCCTCACAATCAGTCGCGGTCACCGCCCCCACCTCCCCAAGCCACTACCCCTGCCCCTGCCGCCCCCCCCCACCTTTGCAGCCATCAATTCCCCCCCTTCCCCCTCAACCCCCATGCTGCCACCCCCTCACCTCCTCCTCCTCCCAGCGGCAGCAGCTCCGGTCAGAAGAAGATATGGGACTCTCCAGATAGGACGGCAGCGGCCGCAATGAGACAGGATGGAGTATACTGGTAAGATGGTGACCAAGGACGAGGGAACCCTGGCTTCTGGACGGAGGAATGATGACGGCTGGGGCAGGGGTATCAAATGGTATCAGCAGCCACAATATGACATGGCCCAAGTGTGCCCGATACTACAAACGGCCCAAGTTTCAACCTTGGTACTTTCCAGTGCCGTGACAGTAAGAAAGGGAAGATGCTAATTGCTACACGATCACTTGTCGCTGCCTGGTTCTAGGCTGAAGAGACATTTCCCCCATGAATTCCAAAAGGAACTCTGCAAAATATTTTTCAGGGAAGGGCTGCAGATTTCTGGAAGACGGCAAGACCAGAGGGAAAAGGGACAAATAGGACAAGAACAAGGGCTAGACATTTCCAGGGATGGGGCTATGTCAGTACTGACGAGAGATTTCTACTAAAGGAAGGACATCACTCGCAGCCCCAAGGGAAAAAGTAGCTCTAAAACAGGAAGATTAATGACCATAGCCCCGACACATGGTACCACAATGCTGTTTCCAAGGGACACTGGACCCAGTTTCCAGCAGGTGCTGCTCCCCACCAGTAGATGAAGCAGCCCACCAGCCAAGGCCTCAATCCCTGCGGTTCTCTTACCATCGCCACGATAGTGGACTTGCGAAAGGACTTTTCTCTATTAAAAAAAAAATAAAAAGGAAGAAGAAGAAGAAGAAGAAGAAAACAGTAAGAGGGACAAGAATGGACTGATTCACAGCATTAGAAGGACGGTAGGCAGGAGGGAAGATAATTTGGGCTTGCTGCAGCTGGTCACTCCGCGTCCCAGCTGAGAGGCTGGTCCTTCCGTAACAGATTCGTTAGTGGTCTTGCAATCGCGGCAAAGCCCTTAATGAAGCGCCGGTAGTACGACGCCAGCCCCAAGAAGGCTCGAACCTGCGTCAGTGACGTGGGAACCGGGGCTTCCTTCACCGCTGCAACTTTTCTCGAGTCTGGCCGCAATCCTCCACGTGTCACGACGTAGCCTAAGAACGAAATTTCCGAGAGGAAAAATTCGCTCTTCTCAAGCGCAATCTTGAACCCAGCATCTCTCAATGCGCCCAATGTCCATTCGATGTGTTGCGCGTGCCCGTGATAGGTCTCCGAATAGACCAGAATGTCGTCCATGTACACGATCACACAGAAGTTAATCATCCCTTGCGTCAGCCGTGTCTTGTTGACRAAGTTCTGGAACGTCATGTTCATCGCTCGCTGAATAGTGGCAGGCGCATTGCAAATCCCCATCGGACACCGAACCCACTGCCACGTGCCCTCAAACAACACAAAGGCCGTTTTCGGCCGATCTTCTTCTCTTACCAGAATATGATGGAAGCCATGCGAAATATCAAACTTGCTGAAATAATTAGCGCACCCAATCGCATCCAATAAATCATCAATCCGAGGGAGGGGATACACATCTTTGATCGTGATTTCATTCAGCTTGCGATAATCAATGCAAATGCGAATCGCCCCATTTTTCTTCGGTACTAATACTACGGGAAAGGACCAGGGTCCGGTAGCGGGTTCAATCCAACCGCTGGCTTCGAACTCCCGAATTCGTTCGAGAGCCTTTTTGCGTTCAATCAGGGAATATCGATAAGGTTTGCAATGAATCGGGAAGTGATTTCCTGTCTGAATTTCGTGTTGGATTACCAACGACAACCCAATGTCAGTGTCTGACACACTAATCGCTCCTTGATATTCCGTTAGAATATCCGCAATCACCCGGTGGATTTCATCTGGTACGTACTGTGGAACGTGCAGTTTGAAAAGTTGATCCCAGATCTGAACGTCAAGTTGTTTCGTGCTTGCTTGTTTTGGCAAATCGGGTGGGGGCGCCGAGACGAATGAATGGTCCGATCGCCAGGAGAACACCGTGGCCATCATCTGGGCATCTTCTTCCCGGATGGCCACGTGTCCTTCCGGGGTAATCCCGTCACAAACATCCTGCCATGGCACTTCCTTAGTTGCGATCTTTATCCCCAGTCCGTCTGTTTCTGCTTCGAAACGCCCAGGGGGTTCCAAAGAACTTGCTTCCGCCCCCAAGCATAACAATCTCACTTCTTTAGCAGATGTTAATAAGGATTTGGGTAGATCCGTAATGTCACAGTAATGCTTCTTGTCGTTCTACCGGGCGAGGAGAGGGGTGATTCCTTCGTACAGGGTTTGAGGGGGTTCCAAAGAATCGATCATCCTCGAAATCTGTACGAGGGGCTCACCCAAGATCATTGCCTTGGTCCTTTGAATTTTTCGGCTGGTCAGTTGCATCGTTCTCGCTATTGTTTTGGGCGGTGGGTAGTAAACGCGTTGTCGTACCAATTTTAAGATCTCCGGATCATCTTCGTCACTGCGTTCCGCATCATCAGTTGATGACTTTCCCTCTGCGGGTTCATCCCAGGAGATCATGCGGAGCGTCCCTGCCATCATCGACGAAACCCGCAAAACCACGTTAATAGTAGTGCGAAGGGTCAATCGCATGGGCACAGCGTAGGGTTTTCCTCCGGTATTTCGGAGGACGATCGACCGTCGTTCGAAGTCCAGGTTTGCTCGTAACGCCACAAGAGCGGGAAGTCCGAAAAGAACGTCGTATGTATTAACATCTAGTACTACGACATCCCCAAGCGCGTGTACTTTTCCTAATCGGAAGGCGACATTGGTCATTCTCCCCACAGTTTTAATATTTTCCTCATCTGCCGAAACGAGCTAATCTTTCTCGGTGAGCATGATCAGATCGTTTTTCCTGCCTGCCCTTTCAACCACTCTCAGTGAAATAGCCAACACGGCTGCTCCCGAGTCTATAATTGCGTTGTAAGGAATTCCCCAAATTTCTATATCGCACTCTGCGGATTTCCACGGAATTGGTTTAATCCGTAGGAAATGATCGTCTTTTTGAATTAATCCTATCCGTATCGGATCTGGAGTGCTTGTTGGGTTTTCTTCCAGCGCGGGGCCTTTGACTTTTACGTTCGGTGCTCAGGCGAGGGCGAATCGCTTTCGATTCGCTTTGCAATGCTGTAACATTCGCTCGTTGGCTTGCTCGGAGATCGAGAGTAGATGAATGATCGGAAGGGGAATCCGATGATCCAAGGCTCGGACGATGTTTAATACATCGATCTCTCCTGTGACGAAGGTGGGTCCTCCTAACTCCATTTCTCCTAGGGACGGTCGCCACTCCGCCACCTCTTTTGGTTATGGCGCTGGTCTGATTGTTCAGATCATTCCAAGCCCAGGATATCCCAGCGACACATACTGATCTAGCGGGATTAGTTCGGCGGCCTCTTCCGTGGTGGCCAGGGCACTTCCCCCACCTTCTACTTCTTCCATCAGGGCTCCGACTCGTCCAGGTCCGTTGGCGATGGGAGCCGCAGCCATAGGTGCGRCCCCAATTCGYTGTTGCGGGGGTCGGTGGGGGCAATCACGGGCTAGATGTCCTGGCTGATGACAGGCATAACAGACATTCAGATTATTTGCGACTCCTCCGAGCGCAGGGGCCGGGGTTAATCCTTGCTGCATCGGAGGGGCGCGTACCGCAATGGGTCGCATGTTCCTCATCATGGCTTCCAGCCGAGCATTGTGCTCTCGCTGCTCCTTTTTGCTTTCTTGGATCAAACTAATCAAGGTTTTGGTTAGTTCGAAAATGGCCGCTGATTCGTTTGTTCGTGCGGGAGCCTCAGCTAGTGGCGGTGGTAACGCCCTGATGGGCGGGGGCATCATAGGAGCAGAGAGTCTCGCTTAGGATTACTCGTTTGGGGCCTATCTGTTCCATATAGGTGACCGGTCCTGATACAAATCCCATGTTTTCAAATTTGTTCTGCAAGGCAGCCAGCTCTGCTTTCACTCATGCGAGCTCGGTCGAATCTCCGTCTCTAGGGCAGTCTTCTCCTTCCAGAAAGTTCGCCGCGAACTTCCGTTCCATTTCTTCCGCAGCAGCCATAATTTGTTGTAGCGTATGAGTGATGGGGGGAAATTGCTTTCACAACTTCGCCCTTATTGTTCGACTGCGGAGTCCGTCAATGAACAGATCTCTCCCTACTTGCTCACCTCGCTCAGTTTTTACGAACATCCTGTAGAACCGGTTTCGATATTCTGCAACGGATTCGAGCGATTTTTGCACTCGGTCCTTGATCATGTACAATGCTTGCTCAGGGTGAATATAATCAAATCGGTTCATGAAATCCCGTTCGAAGGTAGGGAGATCCACCCATACATAGGTACTATACCAATGATGAGCGTCTCCTCCCGTTCGAGCCGGAATGTTGATCTGTGCTTCGTGATCATCATACTGCTGTGCTCTAAGCGTGGCCAGCCATGCTCCTGCGAGATGGTGCGTCGGATCAAATAGATAGAAATCTGGTGGCGACATGGGAGCTCGTGCACGTGGGGCAGGTTGATTAGGTGGATTAGCATTTTGTTGCGGAACCGGATTTTGCACATTGGCAACCATATTGGTTGCTCGCCGGTTAGCCGATCTGCTTCTGGTGACGATAGGGTCGCGTCTATGCGCGTTCCGAGGGCGAGGTCGCCCACGGTTAGCCAGGTCGCCAAATTAACGTGCTATCAATCCTAAGACCCTAGCCACGTGTCGGGCTCCGATACCAACCTCACGCCCAGCGCGACTTCCTGATCGGAGTGGGGTATGGGCCTGGAAGTGCGAAAAGGGGTGTGCCAAGGATTTTTGGGAAAGTGGGGGAGTCTTAAGGGTATGAATGCAATTAGGCGAATAAGGGGCGCGTGCGCAAGGGACTCATGGTCCGATGGGGCCGGGGCACTGTGGGCGACGGTTTACGGGGAAATCCCTCCGCGGTGGAGGCGGTCCCGAAAAGTTAGGCCGTCGGGGGCCGCCACGTGGCGCAGGCCGCCGCGTACCTGGGTTGGGCCTTCGGAATTCCGGAGTTCTCTGTTCGCCGCTATGTCGACAATTCACACAAAACGTATTGGGCCAATAGGGGGCTATGGCCGGCCACGGAATGACGTTGAGTTGATGATACGGGAGAAGAAGGCGGAAAGGAGGGAAACTGGTGGTGATGACAATAAATCCCGGGTGGGTGAAGTAGTAGGTGTGGTCGGGGGAAGGGAAATCAGAGCACCGAGGGTTGCTAGAGGTGGCGCAGTGGAACTCCCGCGAACATAGTCGATTCTCCGTGTGACAGGGGTATCGTGTTCGTATGAGCTCGTTTATCAAAGGGGTGAAATAGTCCGGGTCGTAGGATGAATCTGAGCTCCAAGATCGCGTCATGGTACCATCGTCGATGGGATAGCTCGGGTCGAGATATCGTTACCGCGTACGAGCACGTGAAGTGTGCTTGTACGGGATGACGGTTCCGCCGCGAGTCTTTTTGGGTGAGCGAATCGCCGCACGGGAACGCGTGTAAGGGCGCGACTCAGATCACGTTTACACGTGTTCTCGCGCGGTGTTCGCAGGGCCCGACTTCGGATCGTCTAATCGCTTCGTAAGTTTCGATTATGCAAGATGCAACCATAGCACAACTTCATCGTGAGATAAGCAAAAACGAGAACAGAATCGTTATCGGGGCGAGATTCTTATCCCCTCTACAACGGCATCAGGTGCGGGCAAAGATTCGACATAAACATAAAGCAAGGACAGGGATTCTCAGCAAAAAGAAAGATAGACAAACAGGCATAACGTCCACACATCTATACATCCATACATTCGATAATCATACACATAATGCCAGCGGGACGGACATAGCAAAGACAAGTGTGAGCAAAAACGCAAGCCCATATTTCAGAAAGCCGAAACGAAAATAAGAATGGGCGAAACCGCCCGGAGCCGCAACCAAAATGTATGTACACAGATGAAGAGGGGGAAGAGACAAAGAAACAGCAAATCCGCGTCCATCGACCTCAACTCTCTCCTTCTCTCTCTTTCTCCTCCGATGCGGACTGTCCGTCGTCACGCACCAACCCATGAAGCTGTCACGCCGCTTAGTCCTCCCACACCCGTCGGATTCGCCCGTGCCCACAGTCCGTCGTGGCCCACGTCAATCCCGCGCGTTCGGCACCATTCCGTCGGGTCGCCCAACTCCCACTCACCTCTTACTTCGCTTGTGTGCCGACCCTTCCTGATCGTGCAACCCCGAGCTTCCAACAACGGGTTAAGAGAGCTGACTAATCGCACAGCCAAAATTTATAGCGTGCATGCATGCGCGAAGAACACGGAATTACCAAGACTTAGAGTGAAGATTAGAGAGGGAGCGCCTGCGTTCTGCATGATCGGGCTGCGGCGTGGAGGACGTAACCCTTCTCCACTCATCGATCCGAGCATGCAAGCCGCGGCCTACGAAAATTTCATCAAAAGAAAGAGAGGGAGGGCGGGAGAGACAAGGTGCAAGAAGAAAGATACAGTTACAATGGCGCCCGCCCAAAATTTGAGTCACACACACGATTAAGGGCGCCCACTAATCAGAGTACCGTTGCAGCCGCGTGAAGAAGCGCGTAGACAAAAGGCGCCGCGCGGCAGAAAAAGTCCTAATTACTAAATTCCTTAATTCCTATCTAATGCGAAAAAGCAAAAAGCATAAATCCAGAAGGAAAGTCCAAAATTCCGAGAGCCATCGGGAGGGGGGGGGGCTCGACAGAATTCGAAAAAGACTCAAAGGAAAAATTCAAAAGAACGAAGCAATTTCCCGCGCGATGTCCGCGCCCAAAAGATCAAAACCGAAACGAAAGAAACAACGTCAACATTTATTAATCCCGCGCGTGGTGGCGCGCCAGACACCTGTCCGACCAATCACTCAACCGGCCGTCCCAGGACACACCCAGCTCCGAACGCAGTCTTTCGACAAGAAGCGACGAAAAAGATGAAAAAGCAGGGGTACTGATGCAATTTTTCCACCGATCCCGATTTCCCGTAGTTGGCCCAATCTTCCCAGCTTAGGACCCCTCGTTGCAACCGCGCAGAAAATCGCGCGTTACAGAAAGTGGTTCGTCACACGATCACTCCGATACTGTTTGTTCTTGTCATGGTGGCATTGGCAGCCTTGATCAGAGGGAACCCCAAAATAGAACGTATAGAAATCCTTAATATTCCCCCACATCTGATTCCGGTTGCATCGTTGTTTGCAGATGACTTGACCATACTAATAAAAGCAGCACTGGCTAGCCTGTTTGCACTGGCAGAGACATGAAAGTTAATCGGGGAACTAAGACTGAAAGGTGGTGGCTACACCCACGAGGGGAGGAACCTCGACAGACACCGCTCGTAAACTGGAAGTCGAAGCGAGTATCGCTTCTTAGGAGTGAGGCTCACAGCACTTAGCCCGCCAAAGGACCATGGAGAAGTGCTGGTGAAAACGGTGATTAGATGCACGTGTAAACAGGACGGCCTCCACACCTCGTTGGTGGGAAGGGCACTCGCGATAAACAATGCTATTCTGGCCGCAATGTGGTATAAGACAGCCTTTTGGCAAATACCCGAGGCCCAAGTGAAAGAAATGAAATCAGAAGTAGCCACCACCTTCCTTTGGAGAAACAATCATGAACAAGAAAGGTGCATAAAAAGAGTGAGCTGGAACCATGTGGCACAACCGAAAAAGGTGGGGGGCTTATGAATTATCGATTGGATAAAGGCACTGATCTTCAAGTCTATTACAAGGCTGCTGATGGCAACAGACATCCCTTGGCTTCTCTTTGTTCTCATCCAGATTGGCCACCTAGCCCCCCCATTCCCCCCATCCCCCTCATTCCCCTCATCCCCCCCATTCCCCCCTTCCCCCCCATCCCCCCCATCCCCCCAGGATAACCTCGTCCACCCATTGGCATGGTTCACCAACTCTTTTTGGACCATTCCCAGTCCACCAAGGCAACGGAGGGACAACACCTCTGCTTCAAGAGCAGACAACGGGGTCACTTATGGATGGACCCCAATTGTCCGAAGAATTTAGAAACGACCAGACCCAAACTACTGAAACAAATGGGCCTGGCTGAAGCAGAAGGTGAATGGGGGTTCTGGTATGTATGAAGTCCTGAGTATATTGGCCAGGTCTTCAACGACAACCTTCCTTGCCCGGACTGGGTCTAGGCTTTGGAAGGAGAGCCAACTCCAAGGCCTGACACATCTCTTTTTGCATGGATCACTTCTTAGAACTCCCTTTTTTTAATGAACCATTTCTCAATTTATGTGCGTCATCCTTGCGCAGGGACCGTGCTAATCTTCTCTGTATTGTTCCAATTTAACAGATGTCCTGAAGGACACTTCTGAGAACTCCCATTTGCAAAGGGTTTTTAGTAACTTTTACTAACTTTGAGTTTATTGTCTATTATTTGTTGACAAGTTTGGAATTTTCAGTCCGTGGGTCTCCTGCTTGATTTTATCGAGTGTCATTTGCCCTTAGTTAACTGACTGGATTTTCCTTGCTGGTGGACTTGGCAACGCATCCATGATGGATTGGAGAATTTGGAGGGTGTTTGCTGCTCAAATGTTTTAGGCTCTTAGCCTTTGGGCCTTTTGGCACCATGTCCTCTGTTGGATAGCCTTATGAGCCTGGAAAAAACTTTCTGAGTTCTGTGGCAGTTCACACTCGGGTGGTCATTCTACCGGTAAGCATGCCTGCAATGTCTTTCTTACGGAAAGTCGTTCGACCCCTCTTTGGTTCTAGTCCGCAACGTTGATTTGATAGAGAATGAAATGCATTGCTGTTGTACTTAGTTTTCTGTGTTTTCAACAAGGTTATACACTGAGCTTTGCCCTTCACTCGCCATTTTGTGTTTTTTCCGATTTCGTGCTTTGCGTAATGCTTTAGTGGCCCCGTAGAAGAGGGCAATTCACAGATAGCATCAACAATTATTTCAATGACTTGGCTTGTCTTGCTGTGCTGTTCCCCCCTAGGTATATTGGGAACTTCTGCAGTGCACCGCAAGAGCACAGGGAAAGAGTGAAGAAGATCCAGGCACGTGTCCGAGAATGGATCGACCTGGGAAAGCAGACGAAGATGTGCACGGCTCGGCCTGGCTGGATGACTGTGTCTCCACGCCATGCGCAGTACAAGAAGGTGATGTTCACAGTGGAGGTGGATCTTACAGACATCTTGGAATTGGATGAAGACAACAAAATACTCCGCGTGGAGCCATCTGTGAATATCCTGCAGATATTGGATTACCTTCTCCCCCGTGGATATACTCTTCCCGTGCTTCCGGAGCTGGATGAGCTCACTGTAGGTGGTTTGGTCAACGGTTACGGAATCGAATCATCATCGCACAAGTATGGGTTATTTAATGACATATGTTCTGGGTTTGAATTGGTGTTACCAAATGCACAGCTGGTCAACTTGGGACCGGAAGACCCGATTTTCCATACCGTTCCATGGTCGTTTGGAACAGTTGGGTTTCTAACAGCCATAGATTTGCAAGTCATACCCGCACAGCCGTATGTGCGTTTGAAGTACATCCCCGTCTATTCAATGAGGGAGTGTGCCGAACTATGGACACACGAACAGACAAAGCAGGTGCCGGTCGAGTTTATCGAGGGAATGATGTATGGGCCAAACGAAGGAGTGGTTATGCTAGGGGATTTTGCAGAGGCACCGGGACCGAACGAGCAGGTGGTGCACTTGAACACTTGGTACAAACCATATTTCTACAAGCATGCGAAGGAATTTATTGACAGAAGACAGGAAGGCACCGAGGTTATCCCTCTGAGGCAGTATTATCAGCGCCACAACAGAAGCATCTTTTGGTCCCTCGAAGACCAAATTCCAGTCTGTCATCATTGGCTATTCCGTCTCCTACTCGGCTGGATCCTTCCCCCACGTGTCGCTTTTCTCAAGCTTATTGAATCCGACTCTGTGACAAACTTCTACGAGGAGAAGTACGTGATGCAGGATTTCCTGGTCCCGCTCAACTGTATGCTAGAGACTATGGAAATTTGTGAAAAGGAGATTGCTGTGTATCCACTTTGGCTGTGTCCACATATTATGTTCAATACGGGCCGGTACCAAGGAAAGATCCGGGCGCCACAAGGGACAGAGAAGGAAGGCGAGTACGCACACTACGTCGATGTTGCAGCGGTAGGGCCGCCGCGTGTCACACATCCGTTTGACATGACAAAGGCCATGAGGACAGTTGAAGGATACCTGCGAAAGGTTGGGGGGTATCAAGGGAATTACAGCTATACTTATCAGACGCGGGAGGAGTACCGTCAGATGTTTGATCACACTCTGTACGATGAGGTAAGGAAGACAACAGGAGCTGCTGAGGCCTTCCCAGAGTCATATGACAAGGTTGCCAGGAAAAATCAGTGGAAGAAGCAAGCAGGAACGAGATGATGTAAAGCAGAACACAAGGTCCAGTTAGGGATGTACAGCAGGATGTGAGGAAGTCAACAGGAGCTGTTGAGAGCATCGGTGGAAGACGCAAGCGGAGTAAGCTGATGTAAGACATACAACAGGAGCTGTTGAGGCCAGGAAGAATCGATGGAAGAAGCAAGCGGAGCGAGTTCATGGAGGGCATACAACAGAAGCTGTTGAGGTCGGTGGAAGAGTCGGGGGTCGGTGGAAGAGTCGGTGGAAGAATCGGTCGAAGATTGGAAGGATCGGTGGAAGAAGGGTGGAAGAATCGGTGGAATCGGTGGAATCGGTGGAATCGGTGGAAGTTTCAGTGGAAGGCATACACGTGGAGCGAGCTGATGTAAGGCATAGCAAGGTGCAGTTAGGGATGCAGGTGCAGATTAGAAACAACAAGTCCCCAGTTCAAGACATCAAAGGCACAGCACAGGAGCAGGGAACTGAAGTTGGAAGGCACTGAAGAATGACTATCAAGGCAGACAGGCAAAATAGCTTAAGAATAGGATGGAAAACAAACATGAAAGTTAAGGCAGGCAGGCAGAGTGACAAACTACTTCAGAGAGGCAAATAGGAAATAAGCAGACAGGCAGGCACAGTATGCTGGAGCAAACATGAAGGACTGGTAGATATTTATGAAAGATGGTAGTACTATATCCTGAAAGTTGAAGCTCGCAATGGAAGTTGAAACTCCGAACAAAAGTTGAAATTCAGGATGACAGTTGAAACTTGAAACTCAGGGTGAAAGTGAAAACTCAGGATGAAAGCTGAAACTCAGGGTGAAAGTGAAAACTCAGGGTGAAAGTTGAAGCTCAGGGTGAAAGTGAAAACTCAGGACGGAGAGGCTTGGGTATGGAAACCTCAGAAGGCGCATCGTACAAGGCAACAAATTCGATGAGGAAATTAAAAGAATATATATAATTGTGAAAGGGTTGTGATAAAGCCGCTAGCTACCCAATAAAATATCATTGTGTGAAGTTTGGTTGGAAGTTCGAAGCCAATCAGCTGTCGTAGGGTTTAGGGTTTGTCTCAAGTTGCATTTCAAGCTCAATGAATCGTCGTAGGGTTTAGGGTGTGGCTTCTTTAGTCATAATGGAGTGTCAAAATGTTTGGGGTTTGTCTAACTTTGTCAATAATTGAGTGGTAGTTCAAACTCAATGAAACTGTCATAAGGTTTTGGCCTTGTCTCAAGCTGTAGTTCAAACTTCAAACTCAATGAATTGCCTTTTTTTAAGTTTTGTTACGATCCTGGCCAATTTTGAAGTCCACAACCATCAGAAAGTACAATGCTGCCCAAATGCAAAAGAAATAATTGAACTTGAGCTCAAC